GGGTGGCAGAGGGGTGATTAGGGGGTGGCGGTGGGGTGGCAGAGCGGTGATGAGGGTGTGGCGGTGGGGTGGCAGAGTGGTGATTAGGGGGTGGCAGAGGAGTGATGAGGGGGTGGCAGTGGGGTGGCAGAGGGGTGATTATGGGGGTGGCGTGTGGGTGGCAAGCGGTGATGAGGGTGTGGTGGTGGGGTTTGAGTTTGAGTTTGAGTTTATTAATTTTTTTACAGGGACAGTGCACATTAATCAACGTTTCAGTAAAAGTGCCGGTTTTAGCCAGCCGGCTAATTTTCAACCGCAGTCCCTGGGCAGGTTATTAAAAACAATTACAATATGGACAATAACAACATAGAACAAGACATAGCATACAGACATAGCAACATAGGACAAGCAAGACGTAGCATACAGACCGAGCAACATAGAACAAAAAGCAGCAAGACAAAATTCATAAAAGCAACAAAATGTTTCCACACCTCACAAGTTACAGACAACAGACATGGAAAGCGGCAACACACAGCTAGGGACCATGTTCACAAATCTGATTGACCTTTAGCCATGTCTTCAAGCATTTTGTGAAAGTGTGATATGTGGTGCAGTTGTGTGTGTCTGATGGCAGTGTATTCCAGACATGGGAAGCTCTCACAGAAAAAGCAGATTTACTAAAGGTGCTTTTCCTTAGGGGAACTACACAGTCACCTCTCATGGCAGACCTTGTGGATCTGCTGCCATATGTTTGGGGTTTTCTGTTTAACAAAAATACTGAGTGGAGGGGGAGCCAAGCCATTTAGGATCTTGAATACAAGACATGCATCGGTGTATTGCACAAGATTTTCCCAACTCAGGAGCTCATGCTTTCTAAGGATGTGACAGTGATGATGGCTATTGGGCTTCCTATCAAGCACTTTGAGAGCCTGTTTGTAGACAGACTGAATAGGTCTTACTGTTGTACAGCAAGCTTGGGCCCAACTAGTCAAGCAGTATGTTAAGTGGGGGAGTATCATAGATTTGAAGTACAGTTTTGCTACCTCTGTAGTCAAACAATTTCGTATAAATCGGAAATTAGCTAGGTTGAATTTGGTTATTTGAATTACCTTTTTCACATGCTTTTTAAAAGAGAGGTTGGAATCAAGTATGATGCCAAGGTACTTAAAATCAGATACCCCCTGGAGCTTCTCCCCTGACACATAGACTTCTGGCTCAGTAGCATCTGTTGCCCTCTTTGTGAAGAACATGCAAACAGTTTTTTTTCACATTGAGATGCAAACACGAGTCACTGAGCCACTTTGTAACCTGGACCATTACAGTAGTGAGTTCTTGTGCAGCTTGTTGTTTGCTCTTTGCATGCACATATATCACTGTATCATCTGCATACATTTGAACTTCAGACCCAGTACAGACAGAAGGCAGATCATTAATGTACAGGCTGAACAGGAGGGGCCCCAGTATTGACCCTTGGGGCACACCCACATCATAGCTAAGAGTGGGCGATAGCTCATTGCTCACTCTGACACACTGAGTTCTGCCTTCAAGGTATGATTTCATCCATCTCAAGGCATCGGGGGAAAAGTTGAACTTGGACAATTTTGTGATGAGAATCTCATGGTTAACAGTATCAAAAGCCTTCCTTAGGTCCAGAAACACAGCCCCAACAACGCCCCCTTTGTCCATCTTGGACTTCACATTTTCCAGAAAAAAGCAGTTGGCCATTTCTGTGGAGTGTTTCGCTCTGAAGCCAAACTGCATGGAATGTAATGTGAAGGGGCTGTTGTTGAGGTGGGCAATCAGTTGTTCTGCTACACACTTTTCAACAACCTTTGACACCACAGGTAGTATACTAATGGGCCTGTAGTTACTCACGTCAGCAGGGTCGCCTGATTTAAAGATGGCCGTTATTATGGCCGACTTCCATACCCTTGGAAACACCCCGAGATCAATAGATGTGTTGGTGACCTTAGTAATGGGGCCAATGAGTGACTCTTTGTAGTTTTTAAGAAAGGTAGAGTCCATCCCAAACACATCTTTGGCTTTAGAGTTCTTTAGTGAGCTAATCACCTTGTCTACCTTTGACTCAGAAACCTCCCTTATGATGAAGACAGGTTGAGCATCATTTACTGATGAGGGGGTGGCAGAGCGTTGATGAGGGGGTGGCGGTGGGGTGGCAGAGGGGTGATTAGGGGGTGGCAGTGGGGTGGCAGAGCGGTGATGAGGGGGGTGGCAGTGGGGTGGCAGAGTGGTGATGAGGGGGTGGCAGTGGGTGGCAGAGGGGTGATTAGGGGGTGGCAGAGGGGTGATGAAGGGGTGGCGGTGGGGTGGCAGAGGGGTGATGAGGGAGTGGCGGTGGGGTGGCAGAGGAGTGATGAGGGGGTGGCAGTGGGGTGGCAGAGCGGGTGATGAGGGTGTGGCGGTGGGGTGGCAGAGCGTTGATGAGGGGGTGGCGGTGGGGTGGCAGAGTGGTGATTAGGGGTGGCGGTGTGGTGGCAGAGTGGTGATTAGGGGGTGGCAGAGGAGTGATGAGAGGGTGGCAGTGCGGTGGCAGAGGGGTGATTAGGGGGTGGCGGTGGGGTGGCAGAGCGGTTGATGAGGGTGTGGCGGTGGGGTGGCAGAGTGGTGATTAGGGGGTGGCAGAGGAGTGATGAGGGGGGTGGCGTGTGGTGGCAGAGTGGTGATTAGGGGGTGGCAGAGGAGTGATGAAGGGGTGGCAGTGGGGGTGGCAGAGGGGTGATTAGGGGGTGGCGGTGGGGTGGCAGAGCGGTGATGAGGGTGTGGCGGTGGGGTGGCAGAGTGGTGATTAGGGGGTGGCAGAGGAGTGATGAGGGGGTGGCAGTGGGGTGGCAGAGGGGTGATTAGGGGTGGCGGTGGGGTGGCAAACGGTGATGAGGGTTGGTGGTGGTGGGTGGCAGAGCGTTGATGAGGGGGTGGCGGTGGGGTGGCAGAGGGGTGATTAGGGGGTGGCAGTGGGGTGGCAGAGCGGTGATGAGGGGGTGGCAGTGGGGTGGCAGAGTGGTGATGAGGGGGGTGGCAGTGGGTGGCAGAGGGGTGATTAGGGGGTGGCAGAGGGGTGATGAAGGGGTGGCGGTGGGGTGGCAGAGGGGTGATGAGGGAGTGGCGGTGGGGTGGCAGAGGAGTGATGAGGGGGTGGCAGTGGGGTGGCAGAGCGGTGATGAGGGTGTGGCGGTGGGGTGGCAGAGCGTTGATGAGGGGGTGGCGGTGGGGTGGCAGAGTGGTGATTAGGGGTGGCGGTGTGGTGGCAGAGTGGTGATTAGGGGGTGGCAGAGGAGTGATGAGAGGGTGGCAGTGCGGTGGCAGAGGGGTGATTAGGGGGTGGCGGTGGGGTGGCAGAGCGGTGATGAGGGTGTTGCGGTGGGGTGGCAGAGTGGTGATTAGGGGGTGGCAGAGGAGTGATGAGGGGGTGGCAGTGGGGTGGCAGAGGGGTGATTAGGGGTGGCGGTGGGGTGGCAGAGCGGTGATGAGGGTGTGGTGGTGGGGTGGCAGAGCGTTGATGAGGGGGTGGCGGTGGGGTGGCAGAGGGGTGATTAGGGGGTGGCAGTGGGGTGGCAGAGCGGTGATGAGGGGGTGGCAGTGGGGTGGCAGAGGGGTGATTAGGGGGTGGCAGAGTGTTGATGAGGGGGTGGCAGTGGGGTGGCAGAGCGGTGATGAGGGGGTGGCGGTGGGGTGGCAGAGGAATGATGAGGGGGTGGCAGTGGGGTGGCAGAGGGGTGATTAGGGGGTGGCGGTGGGGTGGCAGAGCGGTGATGAGGGTGTGGCGGTGGGGTGGTAGAGGGGTGATTAGGGGGTGGCAGTGGGGTGGCAGAGCGGTGATGAGGGGGTGGCAGTGGGTGGCAGAGGGGTGATTAGGGTGTGGCAGAGCGGTGATGAGGGGGTGGCGGTGGGGTGGCAGAGCGGTGATGAGGGGGTGGTGGTGGGGTGGGCAGAGGAGTGATGAGGGGGTGGCAGTGGGGTGACAGAGCGGTGATGAGGGTGTGGCGGTGGGGTGGCAGAGGGGTGATTAGGGGGTGGCAGTGGGGTTTCAGAGCGGTGATGAGGGGGTGGGCATTGGGGGTGGCAGAGGCGTGATTAGGGGGTGGCAGAGGGGTGATGAGGGGGTGGCGGTGGGGTGGCAGAGCGGTGATGAGGGGGTGGCAGTGGGGTGGCAGAGCGGTGATGAGGGGGTGGCGGTGGGGTGGCAGAGCGGTGATGAGGGGGTGGCAGTGGGGTGGCAGAGCGGTGATGAGGGGGTGGCAGTGGGGTGGCAGAGGGGTGATGAGTGGGTGGCGGTGGGGTGGCAGAGCAGGGATGAGGGGGGTGGCGGTGGGGTGGCAGAACGGTGATGAGGGGGTGGCGGTGGGGTGGCAGAGGGGTGATTAGGGGGTGGCGGTGGGGTGGCAGAGCGGGGATGAGGGGGTGGCGGTGGGGTGGCAGAGCTTTGATGAGGGGGTGGCGGTGGGGTGGCAGAGCGGGGATGAGGGGGTGGCGGTGGGGTGGCAGAGCGGGGATGAGGGGGTGGCGGTGGGGTGGCAGAGGGGCCCCACTAGTTCCTCCACCTATAGGCTTCTTCCCCTCTGCAGTCAGTTTCCTGGAGAAAAACAAAACTCTTGCAAATTGAGCTCCGTACCGCATTGCTGTAACAATGCGGAGGGCTGCTTATAGCTACGCATTAACATGATTGGTTGACGGTAGGTGAGGGCGGGAGGTCCTGTATAACCACAAACTCACTTCCTTGACATCTTCCTTCACAACAGCTCTGCGCTGCTCTGCGAAGTGCAAAAAGTATGTTTGCTCTTACTTCTGCGGAGCCCTTATCACAGTAAATGCTGTATGGCCATTGCAGAATACGGATTGACCATACAGAGCCTTTTAGGCTATCAACACTGCCCTACTATACTATACTATCAACACTATCCTACTGTGTAATATGTGGAGAACAAAACGAACCCATGCTGTTTTTTGTTTGGCCCCAGATTCCAATCTCCCAGTAGGTCGTGAGTGACACTGACCGTGTGCACATGATGAATTCCATGGCCCAGCTGTACTACAAGAAGGCGAGCTACTCGCCGTACCGCGACCGCATCCCACTGCAGATCGTGCGGGCGGAAGCGGAGCTGTCAGCGGAGGAGCGGGCGTACCTGACGGCGGTGGAGAAGGGTGACTATGCCGGGGTGAAGCTGGCCCTGCAGGAGGCGGAGATCTACTACAATATCAATGTGAACTGCCTGGACCCGCTGGGGCGCAGTGCGCTGCTCATCGCCATCGAGAACGAGAACCTGGAGGTGATGGAGCTGCTGCTCAACCACGGCGTGCACGTGGGCGACGCGCTGCTCTACGCCATCCGCAAGGAGGTGGTGGGGGCCGTGGAGCTGCTGCTGTCCCACCGCAGGCCCAGCAGAGAGAAACAGGTAAGGAGGACCTTAGGAGCACATTTCAGCTAGTTACCTAGGCCTAGAAGGTCCTTACTGTAGCCCAATTAGCATGATGTGACAGACAGGTTACATGTTATGTATATGCTATAAAGGTCATGTATATGTTATGTAAGCAGTGGTGTAAAGTACTTAAGTAAAAATACTTTAAAGTACTACTTAAGTAGTTTTTTTGGGTATCTGTACTTTACTTTACTATTTATATTTTTGACAACTCTTACTTTTACTTCACTACATTCCTAAAGAAAATATTGTACTTTTTACTCCATACATTTTCCCTGACAACCCAAAGTACTAGTTACATTTTGAATGCTTAGCAGAACAGGAAAATTGTGAAATTCACGCACTTATCAAGAGAACACGTGGTCATCCCTTCAATCGAACACTGCTGGCACCCGCCCACCCGACTAGAATCACTACTCTCGACGGGTCTGACCTAGAGTATGTGGACAACTACAAATACCTAGGTGTCTGGTTAGACTGTAAACTCTCCTTCCAGACTCACATTAAGCATCTCCAATCCAAAGTTACATCTAGAATCGGCTTCCTATTTCGCAACAAAGCCTCCTTCACTCATGCTACCAAACATGCCCTCGTAAAACTGACTATCCTACCGATCCTTGACTTCGGCGATGTCATTTACAAAATAGCCTCCAACACTCTACTCAGCAAATTGGATGTAGTCTATCACAGTGCCATCCGTTTTGTCACCAAAGCCCCATATTCTACCCACCACTGTGACCTGTACGCTCTTGTTGGCTGGTCCTCACTACATATTCGTCGCCAATTCCACTGGCTCCAGGCCATCTATAAATCACTGCTAGGCAAATCCCTGCCTTATCTTAGCTCATTGGTCACCATAGCAACACCCACCCGTAGTATGCGCCCCAGCAGGTATATCTCACTGGTCATCCCCAAAGCCAACACCTCCTTTGGCCGCCATTCCTTCCAGTTCTCTGCTGCCAATGACTGGAACGAACTGCAAAAATCTCTGAAGTTGGAGACTCTTATCTCCCTCACTAACTTTAAGCATCAGTTGTCAGAGCACCTTACCGATCACTGCACCTGTACACAGCCCTTCTGAAATTAGCCCACTCAACTACCTCATCCCCATATTGTTATTTATTTTGCTCATTTGCACCCCAGTATCTCTATTTGCACATCATCTCTTGCACATCTATCATTCCAGTGTTAATACTAATTGTAATTATTTTGCACTATGGCCTATTTATTGCCTTACCTCCATAACTTGCTACATTTGCACACACTGTATATATATTTTCTGTTGTATTTTTGACTTTATGTTTTGTTTTACCCCATATGTAACTCTGTGTTGTTGTTTTTATCGCACTGCTTTGCTTTCTCTTGGCCAGGTCGCAGTTGTAAATGAGAACTTGTTCTCAACTGGCTTACCTGGTTAAATAAAGGTGAAATAAAAAAATAATACTGCCTATGTTCTGACGAACTCACTAAACACAAATGCATCTTTTGTAAATAATGTCTGAGTGTTGGAGTGTGACCCTGGCTATCCGTACATTTTTAAAACAAGAAAATGGTGCCATCTGCTTTGCTTAATATAAGGAATTTGAAATGGTTTATACTTTTACTTTTGATACTTAAGTATATTTTAGCAATTACATTTACTTTTGATACTTAAGTATATTTAAAACCAAATACTTTTAGACTTTTACTCAAGTAGTATTTTACTGGGTGACTTTCACTTTTACTTTAGTAACTTTCTATTAAGGTATCTATACATTTACTCAAGTGTGACAATTGGGTACTTTTCCCACCAATGTATGTAAGTTATACAGGTTCTGCTCTTGCCTGGGGCGCATTCAGTACTCCCTCTACTCCCCAACCTGTTCTATTCTCCAGGTGCCCAACCTGATGATGGATACCCAGTTCTCAGAGTTTACCCCTGACATCACACCCATCATGCTGGCAGCTCACACCAACAACTACGAGATCATCAAGCTGCTGGTCCAGCGTAAAGTCACCATCCCCCGGCCACACCAGATCCGCTGTGACTGTGTGGCGTGCGTCTCCAGCTCTGAGGTGGACAGCCTGCGCCACTCCCGCTCCCGCCTCAACGTCTACAAGACCCTAGCCAGCCCATCGCTCATTGCCCTGTCTAGCGAGGATCCCATCCTGACCGCCTTCCGCCTGGGCTGGGAGCTGAAAGAGCTGAGCAAGGTGGGGAACGAGTTCCTTCAGGATTACCAGGAGTTTTCCCAGTAGTGTTAAGGGTTTATGAAGGGTTTATAAAGGGTTTATCAAGGGTTTATAAAGGGTTTATAACTAGTTTATTACTCTTCCAGGTGGAGAATGAGTTCCGTCAGGAGTACGAGGAGTTGTCCCAGCAGTGTAAGCTGTTTGCCAAGGACCTGCTGGACCAGGCCAGGAGCTCCAGAGAGCTGGAGACCATCCTCAACCACCGTGACCACCTCAGTGAGGAGCTGGACCCACAGGACTGCCGCGACCTAGCCAAGCTCAAACTGGCCATCAAGTACCACCAAAAAGAGGTGAGAGGGAGAGGAGGGAGGGCCCTGCAGAAGGTGTCTGTCTGGTATCGTGAGGGTGTCCTTAGCTGAATGGATTGGCACTGTATCAGGTCAAGTGCTCTGTGGGCAGTATGCTGGCAGTGTTACTTATTTCAGACTTACATATTTCAACAAACACATCTTTCTGTGAGTGCCAATGATGAATTTCCATGCGTTGTTTCCTAGGCTATTTCTTTATGCAGCAAAATGTCAGTTGCTGCCATTGACATTGACAAAACACTTGACCAATAATAATCTACAACACTAGAGGAAATGAACCTGTCAATTGAGAAGAGCGCAGTGATTAGAAGAGATCTGTTGTTTGCGGCTATTGTAGACAATGGAAGCTTGATGGTTGAGCACTTTAATTCAAATCATCTTGATATTGAACAGTGATAACAGGACCAATTTGAGTTGTGTCAGAAATTGTAGTCATTTCACCCTCTATTTATAGCAAATAACTACAGGAATAGCATGTAGAAGTGAGTCACAACTCGTCTTAGTGGTGTTGAACTCTTTCTGAGAGGGTTAGAGGTGTACTGAGGGCAGCATGAATGAAACAAGAGACTAAGGCAAGTGGAGAGCTTGGGTGATCAGCTGGCTTGTGTTCTCTCTCATTGCCACCTAAAGGGATCTATTCACAGTTTACTATACCACTGAGAATTCTTCCATTCCATTGCTTCTTTTTTTTATTTTTTTTAATACGTCAGTATGAAAATGTATGCACTCACTAACTGTAAGTCGCTCTGGATATGAGCGTCTGCGAAATGACTAAAATGTAAATGTAAATGTTTGGCACGCTGTCTTTCTTCTTTCTTTCACTTTTGTCCCCCCGGGAGAGGTCTGACAAACACACCCTCACGTATGTGTAGGCCAAACAACAGCACACACTCATGCATACACACATACAGACACACACACACGCACACACACACTCCTTTCATCCTCCTCTTGATTGGAAAGCTGGCATTTGGTTGCTCCTTTGTTGTGAGCTGAAAACTCTATTTCTGTCTGCAGTGTAATAAACTGACAGTCTTCTGCAGCCCTGCGGGACTGTTAAGATAACCTAGCCAACCAAACTGGGGAAAAGGCCAGGAAGAATAATCATGCCTTGGTCATCAAGTAGGCTACAGCTCTTTCATCCTTCATCCTCAGACCACTACAGTCGTGGTCAAAAGTTTTGAGAATGACACAAGTATTGGTCTTCACAAAGTTCGCTGCTTCAGTGTTATGAGATATTTTTGTCAGATGTTACTATGGTATACTGAAGTATAATTACAAGCATTCCATAAGTGTCAAAGGCTTTTATTGACAATTACATTAAGTTTATGCAAAGAGTCAATATTTGCAGTGTTGACCCATCTTTTTCAAGACCTCTGCAATCTGCCCTGGCATGCTGTCAATTAACTTCTGGGCCACATCCTGACTGATGGCAGCCCATTCTTGCATAATCAATGCTTGGAGTTTGTCAGAATGTGTGGGTTTTTGTTTGTCCACCCGCCTCTTGAGGATCGACCACAAGTTCTCAATGGAATTAAGGTCTGGGGAGTTTCCTGGCCATGGACCCAAAATGTCGATGTTTTTTTCCCCGAGCCACTTAGTTATCACTTTTGCCTTATGGCAAGGTGCTCTATCATGCTGGAAAAGGCATTGGTCGTCAGCAAACTGTTATTGGATGGTTGGGAGAAGTTGCTCTCGGAGGATGTGTTGGTACCATTCTTTATTCATGGCTGTGTTCTTAGGCAAAATTATGAGTGAGCCCACTCCCTTGGCTGAGAAGCAACCCCACACATGAATGGTCTCAGGATGCTTTACTGTTGGCATGACACAGGACTGATGGTAGCGCTCACCTTGTCTTCTCCGGACAAGGTGTTTTCCGGATGCCCCAAACAATCGGAAAGGGGATTCATCAGAGAAAATGACTTTACCCCAGTCCTCAGCAGTCCAATCCCTGTACCTTTTGCAGAATATCAGTCTGTCCCTGATGTTTTTCCTGGAGAGAAGTGGCTTCTTTGCTGCCCTTCTTGACACCAGGCCATCCTCCAAAAGTATTTGCCTCACTGTGCATGCAGATGCACTCACACCTGCCTGCTGCCATTCCTGAGCAAGCTCTGCACTGGTGGTGCCCCGATCCCGCAGCTGAATCAACTTTAGGAGACGGTCCTGGCGCTTGCTGGACTTTCTTGGGCGCCCTGACGCCTTCTTCACAACAATTGAACCTCTCTCCTTGAAGTTCTTGATGATCCGATAAATGGTTGATTTAGGTGCAATCTTACTAGCAGCAATATCCTTGCCTGTGAAGCCCTTTTTGTGCAAAGCAATGATGACAGAACGTGTTTCCTTGCAGGTAACCATGGTAAACAGAGGAAGAACAATGATTTCAAGCACCACCCACCTTTTAAAGCTTCCATTCTGTTATTCTAACTCAATCAGCATGACAGAGTGATCTCCAGCCTTGTCCTCGTCAACACTCTCACCTGTGTTAACGAGAGAATCACTGACATGATGTCAGCTGGTCCTTTTGTGGCAGGGCTGAAATGCAGTGGAAATGTTTTTTGGGGATTAAGTTCATTTTCATGGCAAAGTGGGACTTTGCAATTAATTGCAATTCATCTGATCACTCTTCATGACATTCTGGAGTATATGCAAATTGCCATCATCAAAACTGAGGCAGCAGACTTTGTGAAAATTAGTATTTGTGTCATTCTCAAAACGTTTGACCACGACTGTACAGTCAGCAACACTCTCAGTTCAGTCAGCATTTGGACATCTTATGGTTGGCTAAAGTTACCTTGTTCAAAACAGCAATCATTCTAGAGGTAGATGGTTAGAGATGAATGTAGATTCTGTGCAGACAAGGACAGCGCAGTCACGTGGGAGTTGAGGACCTGGTTGGCAGGGAGAGGTCAGGGGGACATGGGGTCATCTGCTGGGACTGGTTAGCCAATTGCGTGCCACAGTTAATATGTTAAAAGCCTGTCGTTGGTCCCTCATCCCTATGTGTCCACAATCACACAGGCATTTATTTAGACCCCTTTTTTATTGATTGATTACGGAAAGTAAGAATAGGGTTCATGTTATCTATTCATACCGTTCACCTTCAGAAATAGCAGAGGGAAGCTCTCTTCACAAAGATGTCCTAGGTATCCTTTTCATTGGTCCCTCAGGATCCCCTCTCCAGGGATCTGAATCTACCCTTTCTTATTTGTGGTCTGACAGGAGACTCAAAAGTTACGCCATGTACAATAAAATTCAATTATAAGATCCCAGGTGACTTTCGATAATAGATCTAGAAAGAGGAAAACAAAACAATATTCTTAAGGAACTGTAAATTATACAGAATTCTAATTCTATCAAATAAATACGTAGGTTCTTAATTCTTAAATCTGACAAACAGACGGGTTATAAATGGGTTTTAGATTGGGTTTATATATGGGTTTATAGATGGGTTGTACATGGTTTTATAGATGGGTTATACGGTTTATAGATACGTTTATAGACGGGTTTATAGATGGGTTTATAGATGGGTTATACGGTTTATAGATGGGTTATACAGTTTATAGATAAGTTTATAGATGGGTTTATAGACGGGTTTATACATGGGTTATAGATGTGTAATTGATGGTTATACGGTTTATAGATGGGTTTATAGATGTGTGATGGATGGGTTTATAGATGTGTTATGGATGGGTTTATAGATAGGTTTATAGATGTGTTATGGATGGGTTATATGGTTTATAGATGGGTTTATAGATGTGTTATGGATGGGCTATAGATGTGTTATGGATGGGTTATAGATGTATTATGGATGGGTTTATAGATGTGTTATGGATGGGTTTATAGATGTGTTATGGATGGGTTTATAGATAGGGTTATGGATGGGTTATAGATGTGTTATGGATGGGTTTATAGATGTGTTATGGATGGGTTATAGATGTGTTATGGATGGGTTTATAGATGTGTTATGGATGGGTTATAGATGTGTTATGGATGGGTTTATAGATAGGTTTATAGATGTGTTATGGATGGGTTATATGGTTTATAGATGGGTTTATAGATGTGTTATGGATGGGCTATAGATGTGTTATGGATGGGTTTATAGATGTGTTATGGATGGGTTTATAGATAGGTTTATAGATGTGTTATGGATGGGTTATATGGTTTATATATGGGTTTATAGATGTGTTATGGATGGGCTATAGATGTGTTATGGATGGGTTATAGATGTATTATGGATGGGTTTATAGATGTGTTATGGATGGGTTATAGATGTGTTATGGATGGGTTTATAGATAGGGTTATGGATGGGTTATAGATGTGTTATGGATGGGTTTATAGATGTGTTATGGATGGGTTATAGATGTGTTATGGATGGGTTTATAGATGTGTTATGGATGGGTTATATGGTTTATAGATGGGTTTATAGATGTGTTATGGATGGGCTATAGATGTGTTATGGATGGGTTTATAGATGTGTTATGGATGGGTTATAGATGTGTTATGGATGGGTTTATAGATAGGGTTATGGATGGGTTATAGATGTGTTATGGATGGGTTTATAGATGGTTTATAGATGTGTTATGGATGGGTTATAGATGTGTTATGGATGGGTTTATAGATAGGTTTATAGATGTGTTATGGATGGGTTATAAGGTTTATAGATGGGTTTATAGATGTGTTATGGATGGGCTATAGATGTGTTATGGATGGGTTATAGATGTGTTATGGATGGGTTTATAGATAGGTTTATAGATGTGTTATGGATGGGTTATAAGGTTTATAGATGGGTTTATAGATGTGTTATGGATGGGCTATAGATGTGTTATGGATGGGTTATAGATGTGTTATGGATGGGTTTATAGATAGGGTTATGGATGGGTTTACAGATGTGTTATGGATGGGTTTATAGATAGGTTTATAGATGTGTTATGGATGGGTTATAGATAGGTTTATAGATGTGTTATGGATGGGTTTATAGATGTGTTATGGATGGGTTTATAGATAGGGTTATAGATGTGTTATGGATGGGTTTATAAATGTGTTATGGATGGGTTTATAGATAGGTTTATAGATGTGTTATGGATGGGTTATAAGGTTTATAGATGGGTTTACAGATGTGTTATGGATGGGTTTGTGATGCATGAATCTTGATGAAGGTGTGATACTGTAAACAATCCTGAACAAGCCTATTTCCAGTATTACTGCATGAGCAAGCCAATGCTGTTTATAACATATCAGATATCCTAACTACTACGGCATGCAGTGTGCAGCTGGCAGGGGTGTTTGTTTGGGTATTGCTGTGAATCTAAGCTGTGATGTGCCAAAGTCAGAGGTAATCTGTGGGAGGTTAGCTCCAGGGACTAACACTGGGAAGTTAGTTTTACTGCAGGAAAGTTGGCGAGAGCCTGGGACTTTATGATCTGCAGTACACATCAACTTCATATCCGAAGCATTATGTGGCGGAAGCATAATAAAGATGTGTGTGATTTCCACCGCAGTATTCTTCTATTCTATTAGAGTTTTAGAATTTCTTGGTGGTTGGACGTACCATCACTCTGTACAGCACTGGCCCATTGTGATACTATTGTTGTGATTTCCCTTATGGATCTTCTTCCTGTCTCTCACTGTCTTCCTCTCTAGTTTGTGTCCCAGCCAAACTGCCAGCAGCTCCTGGCCACCCTATGGTACGACGGTTTCCCGGGGTGGCGCAGACGCCACTGGGCGGTCAAGCTGGTCACCTGCTTCACCATCGGCCTCCTCTTCCCCATCTTCTCCCTGGTCTACCTGCTGGCCCCCAAGAGCACCCTGGGCCTCTTCATCAAGAAGCCCTTCATCAAGTTCATCTGCCACACAGCCTCCTACATGACTTTCCTCTTCTTCCTCCTCCTGGCCTCCCAGCACATCGTGAGAACAGACCTGCACGTCCAAGGCCCACCGCCCACCGTGGTGGAGTGGATGATCCTTCCCTGGGTGCTGGGTGAGCAGAGGGGTGGTGTGGGGGGTGAGAAGGTGACCGGGGAGAGCTAACTCTGTCGTTAGAAACCACTCTAACAGTTTCTAACTTGTAATTGGGTGGATATTGAGAAATTCAGTGCTGTATTTGCTGCAGTTGATCTGTTGATCTGATTTGGACTAGTTGTACATTTACACTGTAAAACTATTGTGACAGATGACATTAATTGCATTAATTGCAGTGTGCAATGCCACATGTCTTACTGACTGACGCCTGTCTGCCCTTCAGGCTTCATCTGGGCTGAGATAAAGGAGATGTGGGATGGAGGTTTCACTGAGTACGTCCATGACTGGTGGAACCTGATGGACTTTGCCATGAACTCTCTCTACTTGGCCACTATCTCACTCAAAATAGTTGCTTACTTCAAGGTAAGTCACACCTGTATTTTTTCTAGATGAGTTGATGATATTGTTAAGAAATTCCTGTCTATTTATTCTTGCCCACTTATACATTCCTATATGACCATGGCCTTCTGACACGTAAGCTTAACAGTGTCAGTTGCTAGAGTAGAGGCGACGCGTAGAGAGATGAGCGAGATGCGAGCGATAGAGGAGAAGAGAGAGAGAGGCGAGATGAGAGCGAGAGAGGCGAGAAGAGAGAGAGAGAGAGGAGCGAGCGAGAGAGAGAGAGAGCGAGAGCGAGAGAGAGCGGAGTAGAGAGAGCGAGAGAGAGAGCGATGCGATCTCTAGATGATATCCTATACTATCTCTGCTTCTCTCTCTTCTCGCTCTCTCTTCTTCTCTCTCTCTCGCTCGTCCTCTCTCTCTCTCTCCTCTCTACAACAGCACTCTCTCTCTCCTCACCACAACTCTCTCTCAATTCAATTTAAGGGCTTTATTGGCATGGGAAACATATGTTTACATTGCCAAAGCAAGTGAAATAGATAATAAACAAAAGTGAAATAAACAATAAAAAAATGAAAAGTAAACATTACACTCACAAAAGTTCCAAAAGAATAAAGACATTTCAAATGTCATATTATGTGCAAATAGTTAAAGTACAAAAGGGAAAATAAATAAACATAAATATGGGTTGTATTTACAATGGTGTTTGGTCTTCACTGGTTGCCCTTTTCCTGTGGCAACAGGTCACAAATCTTGCTGCTGTGATGGCACACTGTGGTGTTTCACCCAATAGATATGGGAGTTTATCAAAATTGGTTTTCTTTTCGAATTCTTTGTGGGTCTGTGTAATCTGAGGGAAATATGTGTCTCTAATATGGTCATACATTTGGCAGGAGGTTAGGAAGTGCAGCTCAGTTTCCACCTCATTTTGTGGGCAGTGTGCACATAGCCTGTCTTCTCTTGAGAGCCAGATCTGCCTACGGCGGCCTTTCTCAATAGCAAGGCTATGCTCTGAGTCTGTACATAGTCAAAGATTTCCTTAATTTTGGGTCAGTCACAGTGGTCAGGTATTCTGCCACTGTGTACTCTCTGTTTAGGGCCAAATAGCATTATAGTTTGCGCTGTATTTTTGTTAATTCTTTCTAATGTGTCAAGCAATTATCTTTTTGTTCTCTCATGATTTGGTTGGGTCTATTTGTGTTGCTGTCCTGAGGCTCTGTGGGGTCTGTTTGTGTTTGTGAACAGAGCCCCAGGACCAGCTTGCTTAGGGGACTCTTCTCCAGGCTCATCTCTCTGTAGATGATGGCTTTGTTATGGAAGGTTTGGGAATCATTTCCTTTTAAGTGGTTGTAGAATTTAACGGCTCTTTTCTGGATTTTGATAATTCTGAGAGGGCAACCAGTGGGCCCGTCTCCTCTATACCATGTTTCTTGAAGGATGACAATGTCTATATTTCTGATTCCTTTGCTGAAGTCCAGGTTCCTGCTCTTTAGGCCAAAGGCAGATGACCTCAGGCCTTGGATATTCCAGGATGAGATAGTGAAGGCTTTGTGTTCCATAAAGTATCCAATGTTGTTAGTCATGTGGTTTGGCCTCAGACCAGTAAGTGTGAGCAGAGCCTGCTGAGCATCTGGTACATGCCATTGGCTTGGGCTAGTATAAGAATGGGGGTTGGGCCTGTTTGCCTGCTCACGGCCTGGGCGTATGTGTGACTTTCAGGTCTGGGAGAGTGTCTCGCTGGTCTGGGCGGGGTGTCTGTTGATCTGTTGCTCCTGTGTGATGTGTTGGGACTGCGGTTGAGGGCATTGTCCTTTAGGTTCTGGGCGAAGGTGGGCATTGCTGCCTTGTATAGGTGAACCTGGTTGTAAAGGCTGTTCAAGTCCAGTGTGGAGTGGTGGGCCAGGTAAACATTTGGTTTTGAGGTACAGTCGTGGGAAATACATGCATTTACCTGCTGTATGGTAGCAGGGTGGAAGTCTCTCTCGCTCTCTCTCTCTCTCTGTCTTCTCCACAACAGTACAATAGCTGTCTCTCTCTCTTCTCTCCACAATAGTACAACAGCTCTCGGCCACGGGAGGAGTGGGAGATGTGGCACCCAACGCTGATAGCTGAGGCCCTGTTTGCTATCGCCAACATCTTCAGCTCCCTGCGCCTCATCTCCTTGTTCACTGCCAACTCCCACCTGGGGCCTCTGCAGATCTCCCTGGGACGCATGCTGCTGGACATCCTCAAGTTCCTCTTCATCTACTGCCTGGTGTTGTTGGCCTTTGCCAATGGACTCAATCAGCTGTACTTCTACTATGAGACCAAGGCTTCGGATGAACCCAACAACTGCAAGGGCATCCGCTGTGAGAAGCAGAACAACGCCTTCTCTACGTGAGTCATCTAATTTCAGACGCCTTGTCCTGGGGATATGAGAATGGAGAACGACAAATACTGTATAATGACTAAAGGAGGGTTTTGGATAGACAGAAAGAAGAGTGTATAGAGAGATAGGCGGGACGAGTACATTCTGAGACAAGGAAGGGAGTGAAGAGGTAGAGGACAGGGTAAAGGAAGGAGGGTAAAGGAAGGAGCTTGAAATAAATTGAGAGTGGAGAAGAGACAGAATATGAAGAGATGTGAATAGACAGAACTGTTTGGGAAGGAGGTTTGGAATAGGAGCAGGAAGAGGGTGGTAGATTTGGAATAGGAGTAGGAAGAGGGTGGTAGGTTTGGAATAGGAGCAGGAAGATGTGTCAGGTACAAAACAGGGTCTTATACTCCAATACCTATTACAATAGAAAAGCCCTTTTTCATTTGTCCCGAGGTTTCACAGAGAAACCTACAGTATGCACATAATCCTCTCCCTTTCCCGTAATGAATAAAATATTTGCAGTGTACCAAATCTCATCCGCTTCCTCCAGCCCCTGAGTCATTCTGGAGACTGAGCAGTTTGCATCTCTCGCCTCAATCTGTTTTTGGAGGTTTTAGTGGCTCATTGAGTTACTGTAATGCAAAATATCGGTTTAGGATTCATTCTTTGTTGGCATCTCTGCATTTGCAGCTTACAGGGCTATGGTAATCGTTTGTGGCTCATCAAAGTCCAAATGAAGGTTATTGTAGAAAACACAAAACTCAAAGAAAGTCTCCCTCTGTCTCTGTTTCTTGTTCTTTCCCAGGCTGTTTGAGACGCTGCAATCCCTGTTCTGGTCGATATTCGGCCTGCTCAACTTGTACGTGACCAACGTGAAGGCACGCCATGAGTTCACAGAGTTTGTGGGAGCCACCATGTTCGGTACCTACAACGTTATCTCCCTGGTGGTGCTGCTCAACATGCTTATCGCCATGATGAATAACTCCTATCAGCTCATTGCTGTGAGTCACACACACACACAAGCACACACACACATACACACATACACACACGCACACCAAAAACCCCACACACTCAGCCGTCTGCTAGCTCCTTTATTATGGGAACTCACAGCCCACTGGGCACACTCTGGTTGGATCAGCGTTGTTTCCACGTCATTTCAATTAAATTACGTTGAACCAATGCTGAATAGACATTGAATTGACGTCTGCATCCAGTGGGAAGGCCCTTCCCATCTTTTTTGTGGAGTTTTTGCCGGTGCTTATGGGTAAAGACTTTGGTATGCAAAAGACGAATGATGATCACTGCTTCTGTTGCATGATGAGCATGCGTCTCTTGCAGTTGATCTCCAGAAGTTATGCCAAGCGTCTCTCACTCTCTGCAGGAATAAGAACCGGAAGAGTAATTGTCATAAAATGTATTGTAGATCATGAAGGTCTTATTGAAGGTGATCGTCTTTACCTCAGAGAGTCTGTATTTTTCTGGTGCACAGAGACATAGTATTATCCCTTATTGAAGGTGATGGTCTTTACCTCAGAGAGTCTGTATTTTTCCGGTGCACAGAGACATAGTATTATCCCTTATTGTAAACTTTCTGCCAGATGTAAGCTGATGATAGAGGCCTTCCACCCAACGTGTCACTCTCCCTGGGAGCTGTGGGAGAAGTACACAACACACACACACACACAAACACACACACACACACACATACACACACACACAAACAAACACACACCGAAATAGAAAACACAAAAACACACACAAACAAACACACACATACACAAACAAACACACAAACACAAATATACACACAAACAAGCACACATACACAAACACACAAACAAGCACACACACACACAAACAAACACACACAAACAAACACACACATACACACACACAAAAACACATACACACAAACACACATACACACAAACAAACACACACACACCTACACACACACAAACAAACAAACAAACACACACACACAAACACACACAAACAAACACACACACAAGCACACAGATCCTTTGATCAACCAACCAAACCCCTACCCCTCCCCTCAGACCACAGCTCATTGCCTAAGGCATATCTATGGAAGGGGAGACAGGATGTCACAACAGGATGAGGAAACAAGTTATTTCAAGCAGATTAAATGTTATTTTAGCCCTGCTATTAAGTGGGTTTTCATCACTCTCAGTGATAATGATGGTGATTGAATAGGATGTAAGAGAGTTTCAATTCTGCTAGTGAATACTCCACCTCCTTTAATATCTAAATGCCCTTGTACAGGACCATGCAGACATTGAATGGAAGTTTGCCCGCACCAAGCTGTGGATGAGTTATTTTGACGAGGGAGGAACTCTCCCGCCGCCCTTCAACATCGTCCCCAGCCCCAAGTCAGTGTGGTATCTGTGTGTGTGGATGCACAACCGCCTGTGTGGAGGGGACCAGCCCAGCCCTGATGACCTGAGGAAACACGAGAACTTAAAGGAGTTCACGGTAAAACATTTAGAAACCTGTACAGTCAATATAGTATACAGTGTAAACACATTCACTACATTTTCACCAGGCAGTTTCCTTTTGCTGTGTCATATCAGAGAATAACAGGATGCTAACTCTCTTTCATGTGATTGGTTTCACCGTTGTCCTGTTCTTCTATTTCCATATAATAACCAAACAGGATCCTTGCCTGTAAATGTTATGGAGAGATTTACAATAGTGTTGGGGCTATCAGTGTTTGGCCCAGCTGGGATGTTACTGACGAGGGGCTGCATATCCTGGTTGTCCAGCTTCCAGCTGCAGTGAGCAGGCACATGTTGCCAAGCAACCCTGCCTCATGCTCCCAATTCCCTGGACATTTCCCATTCAGCTGAACTTCTCACCTCTACCAGCAGCAATCGCCTGTTCTACCGTTCTACTGTTCTACTCCACACTCCTGCTAACACACAGGCACCCACGTTGCCTTCACCCACTCACCAAACACATGTTTTGGGATATAACATTGTATAATAACTCATATGCACCCTTTTAGATCAGTAGTATGGTTTGAAGTGGAGAAAATGTAGCAGAACAAAGCCAGAAATAACCATTGTATGGGTGCATCTAATTGAACAGATTAGAATAAGCCATGCAATACATAAAAACTGTGGTGGTCATTGAATTAATTGACTGCTAATTACTACTGTCTTTTTCATTGCTCTAAAATAAATAAATAGTTCCATTTGAGCCCGCTCCATATTAATGCAAACCTTTTCTACAGCTGATAACGAAGGCAATGCATATACAGTGCCTTCGGAAAGTATTCAGACCCCTTGACTTTTTCAACATTTTGTTACGTTACAGCCTTATTCTAAAATGGATTAAATGAAAAATGTTCCTCATCAATCTACACACAATACCCCATAATGACAAAGTGAAAACAGGTTTTTAGAAATGTTGGCAAATGTATTAAATATAAAAAACAGAAATACCTTATTACATAAGTATGCAGACCCTTCACTATGAGACTCGAAATTGAGCTCAGGTGCATCCTGTTTCCATTGATCATCCTTGAGATGTTTCTACAACTTGATTGGAGTCCACCTGTGGTAAATTCAATTGATTGGACATTATCTGGAAAGGCATACAACTGTCTATATAAGGTCCCACAGTTGACAGCGCAAGTCAGAGCAAAAACCAAGCCATGAGGTCGAAGGAATTGTCCGTAGAGCGCCGAGACAGGATTGTGTCGAGGCACAGACCTGGGGAGGGGTACAAAACAATTTCTGCAGCGTTGAAGGTCCCCAGGAACACATTGGCCTCCATTATTCTTTAAATTGACAAAGTTTGGAACCACCAAGACTCTTCCTAGAGCTGGCTGCCCGGCCAAACTGAGCAATCGGGAGAGAAGGGCCTTGGTCAGGGAGGTGACCAAGAACCCGATTGTCACTCTGACAAAGCTCTAGAGTTCCTCTGTGGAGATGGGAGAACCGTCCAGAAGGACAACCATCTCTGCAGGACTCCACCAATCAGGCCTTTATGGTAGAGTGGCCAGACGGAAGCCACTCTTCAGTAAAAAGGCACATGACAGCCCACTTGGGAGTTTGCCAAAATGTACCTAAAGACTGTCAAACCATGAGAAACAAGATTCTCTGGTCTGATGAAACCAAGATTGAACTCTTTGGCCTGAATGCCAAGCGTCACGTCTGGAGGAAACCTGGCACCATCTCTACGGTGAAGCATGGTGGTGGCAGCATCATCCTGTGGGGATGTTTTTCAGTGGCAGAGACTAGGAGACTAGTCAGGATTGAGGGAAAGAACGGAGCAAAGTACAGAGAGATCCTTGATGAAAACCTGCTCCAGAGCGCTCAGGACCTCAGGACAACGACCTTAAGCACACAGCCAAGACAATGTAGGAGTGGCTTCGGGATAAGTCTCTGAATGTCCTTGAGTGGGCCAGCCAGAGCCCGGACTTGAACCCGATCTAACATCTCTGGAGAGACCTGAAAATAGATGTGCAGCGACGCTCCCCATCCAATCTGACAGAGCTTGAGAGGATCTGCAGAGAAGAATGGGAGAAATTCCCCAAATACAGGTGTGCCAAGCTTGTAGCATCATACCGAAGAAGACTCGATGCTGTAATCGCTGCCAAAGGTGCTTCAACAAAGTACTGCAGGGTCTGAATACTTATGTAAATGTGATATTTAAGTTTAGTATTTTTAATAAATTAGCAAACATTTCTAAAAACCAGTTTTTGCTTTGTCATTATGGGGTATTGTGTGTAGATCGATGAGGGGGAAAAACGATTTAATCAATTTTAGAATAAGGCTGTAACCTAACAAAATGTGGAAAAAGTCAAGAGGTCTGAATACTTTACAAAGGCACTGTATATGTATGTATATAAATTCCTTAGGTCTTTAACCACTGTTCAGAACATGTGTATTTACGTCACTCTCACAGTGTAACATGTAGCAGCAGAGAAACCAGTAGAGTGATACTAATATATCTGGGCTGTTGATAGAAATTCTACACATGAACAAATGTCATTCGATTCTTCTGCTTTTTATGTGGTTCTAGGAGCGTCATGCTGACAACCTGATTCAGAACCAGCACTATCAGGTAACTGGCTGCTGTCATAACAACCATGGACAGGAGTGTCTGCACATCTCTCACACACACGCACACAAACACCTCTTATTGTTGAGCCGGATCCGTGACATTTGTTTACCGTGCAAAACATTTGTGCTGCACATGTTTATTAGAATATATTACACTGTTGACCGTGTAGCAGAGTGGGAGACAGAATATATTACTAATCTGTTGACCTTGTAGCGGGGGGGGGGGGGGGGAACAGGTGTCCTTGAGTTACTGGATGTATCGTCGTCATGGTGCTGGTGAGCTTGGTGGCAGGTTAGATTTTATCCCAGACATACAGTATGTTCATTTGCTTATCAGTCCGTCCTCGCCACAGTAATTGCAATTAGCCCAACCTTTGGCGGCCCTCCTCTCCTCCCCTTCACCAAGGCAAGGCCTTGTGCTGCTGGGGCTCCCCTGGTGACCTCTAACACCAAGCAGACTAAGCCAGACTCAAATGCTTTGACTGGAGCCTGCGCTGTCTAATGAACATACTTTATCAAGGAATATAGCTGCAGCTCTAAATGAATGAGATTGGGGAATAGGGCAGAACCTATCAGAGAAAGGGGGGCTCTGAGGCAACCCTTTGTGCATGTGGTGAGGTGAGGGGTACCCTTCCATAGTGCAGATTGTTAGATCAAATATACAAGCACCTCCACAAATATCCTCCTTCACAATAAATTGAACGGAGTTGTTTATTCGCAAAATAATCCATCTGTAAAAGAAACAGGTTTGATTGGTCCATTGTCTCCTGAACATGCAAAGTTATGCCTGTCCAGATTTTCACCTCAAGCTAATACATACAGTGGGGAAAAAAAGTATTTAGTCACCCACCAATTGTGCAAGTTCTCCCACTTAAAAAGATGAGAGAGGCCTGTAATTTTCATCATAGGTACACGTCAACTATGACAGACAAATTGAGAAGAAAAAAAAATCACGAAAATCCCATTGTAGGATTTTTAATGAATTTATTTACAAATTATGGTGGAAAATAAGTATTTGGTCACCTACAAACAAGCAAGATTTCTGGCTCTCACAGACCTGTAACTTCTTCTTTAAGAGGCTCCTCTGTCCTCCACTCGTTACCTATATTAATGGCACCTGTTTGAACTTGTTATCAGTATAAAAGACACCTGTCCACAACCTCAAACAGTCACACTCCAAACTCCACTATGGCCAAGACCAAAGAGCTGTCAAAGGACACCAGAAACAAAATTGTAGACCTGCACCAGGCTGGGAAGACTGAATCTGCAATAGGTAAGCAGCTTGGTTTGAAGAAATCAACTGTGGGAGCAATTATTAGGAAATGGAAGACATACAAGACCACTGATAATCTCCCTCGATCTGGGGCTCCACGCAAGATCTCACCCCGTGGGGTCAAAATGATCACAAGAACGGTGAGCAAAAATCCCAGAACCACACGGGGGGACCTAGTGAATGACCTGCAGAGAGCTGGGACCAAAGTAACAAAGCCTACCATCAGTAACACACTACGCCGCTAGGGACTCAAATCCTGCAGTGCCAGACGTGTCCCCCTGCTTGAGCCAGTACATGTCCAGGCCCGTCTGAAGTTTGCTAGAGTGCATTTGGATGATCCAGAAGAGGATTGGGAGAATGTCATATGGTCAGATGAAACCAAAATAGAACTTTTTGGTAAAAACTCAACTCGTCGTGTTTGGAGGACAAAGAATGCTGAGTTGCATCCAAAGAACACCATACCTACTGTGAAGCATGGGGGTGGAAACATCATGCTTTGGGTGTCATGGGGTGCTGAAGGTGGGTGTGGTGCAGGAATCAAGCGCAGGACGCAGAAGCTAAGTCCAAAAGACTTTAGTGAGTTATTCACGTAGTACACGAGAACAATAAGCCCGGAGGCGAAATAACGGCGCACACAGGCGTCAAACAAACGGCGCACTAACATGTGCGAAAACCTCTCCAAACACGGAGGGAAGAATACGTAGCTCCGAACACCAACAGAGGAGCAATCACACACAACACCATGCACACACAACGAGAACTAAATAGGACACTAACGAGGACTAACTAGACACAGGTGTACAACATCCAGACAAAACCAAACGAACATGAAACATAGATCGGTGGCAGCTAGTACTCCGGGGACGACGACCGCCGAAACCTGCCCGAACAAGGAGGAGCAGCCTCGGCCGAAACCGTGACATTGGGGCTGTTTTTCTGCAAAGGGACCAGGACGTGAGATTTTGAGTGAAAACCTCCTTCCATCAGCAAGGGCATTGAAGATGAAACGTGGCTGGGTCTTTCAGCATGACAATGATCCCAAACACACTGCCCGGGCAACGAAGGAGTGGCTTCGTAAGAAGCATTTCAAGGTCCTGGAGTGGCCTAGCCAGTCTCCAGATCTCAACCCCATAGAAAATCTTTGGAGGGAGTTGAAAGTCCGTGTTGCTCAGCGACAGCCCCAAAACATCACTGCTCTAGAGGAGATCTGCATGGAGGAATGGGCCAAAATACCAGCAACAGTGTGTGAAAACCTTGTGAAGACATGCAGAAAACGTTTGACCTGTGTCATTGCCAACAAAGGGTATATAACAAAGTATTGAGAAACTTTTGTTATTGACCAAATACTTATTTTCCACCATAATTTGCAAATAAATTATTTTTTTCTCATTTTGTCTGTCATAGTTGACGTGTACCTATGATGAAAATTACAGGCCTCTCTCATCTTTTTAAGTGGGAGAACATGCACAATTGGTGGCTGACTAAATACTTTTTTCCCCCACTGTATGTCATGAATATGCCTAAACAGTTTTTCCTTGTTAAACCCAAAATGCAAATATATGCATGTAAGGAAGGAAGAACCACTTTACCCACATCTCAGAACATTTCCTCCTTAGGGAGGTACAAGTCTAGAAAAATAGCTTACAAGGAAAAATATTCTAGTTTGTTAAATGTGCCCATAACTTCAGTATTCATTACATACTGTAGTAGTAGGGTATGTAATGTGATTGTTTCTCTGCTGTGACTGTCTCTATGTGCAGGAGGTGATCAGGAACCTGGTGAAGAGGTATGTAGCAGCCATGATCCGCAGTGCTAAGACAGACGAGGGACTGACTGAGGAGAATTTTAAGGTAGTTTTCTCAGAAGTCTCGTATTTAAACGTTCATCCCCAAAATGTGCCTCTATACCACAGTCATAGAGCAATATCTAACTGTCCCTCATTGTTCATCTCTCTATCCCCCTCTTAACTGATCTCTCCATCCTCTCTATCCCCCTCTTAACTGATCTGAAGGAGCTGAAGCAGGACATCTCCAGTTTCCGCTATGAGGTGTTGGATCTGCTGGGGAACAGGAAGCCCCCGCGGAGAACTTATTCATCCAGCAGTGAGGCGACTCAGCAAGACGAGGCCAACAAGGAGGGGGAGGGAGGGGCCGGACAGGGTCAGTCCAGGGACCAAGGGGCCAAGGGGGTGTCCTTCAGCATGTCAACCGCTGAGAGGAAGAGCAAGGACTCTGAGTTCAGTGTCTCCGCCCTCTTTAAGTCCATGTCAGGGGTGGAGGGGCCAGTGGACAACAAACCAAAGTGCAATGGGCTGCGGTTCTCCTCCTCCTCCCCCTCCTCTGCTGCGTTCAGCCGCAGTGGTGGCCGGCTGCAGTCCAAGAGAGACTCCATCAGGAGGCTGGGCCTGCTCTTCTCCCGCATGAACGGACACGTCCCAGAACCCAGGGCCCCTCCTCCCAGCATGCACCAGCCCACCTTTAGCATCTCAGATGGCCTGCTTCGTCAGCCCACAACCTGGCCGGACGTCCATATCCCCCGCAATCCCCAGGTTACACGCAGCCAGTTCCACCTGGACCGGCTGGGGGTGAACCTGAAAGAGGAACCACAGGCCCAAGCCCCTAACCAGGCCCCACCCCAGGGTTCACCCCAGCAGGCTAACGGGAGTGACAGCCTGCTCCTACGGCCCCTGGGCCACTTACCACCGCCCCCGGGCCTCTCCCTGCCGCCCCTGCACTGTGCTTCCAGCATCAGGGCCTCCAGCTCCCAGGCTGTCCTCCTGGGCTCTAGTGAGGACATGTACGAGGGCTGGATAGGACCATGTGATGAGTTGGACTCTTCTGAGTGGGGGGCTGAGCAGGAGGACTCCATCACCACACAGCTTTAGAGACACACACCACCCCCGGAATAATGCAGGACAGCAAACTACAGTACGTTCAGGTCACTCTGCTGAGAGGACAGAGAGAAAAAGTGTCTGACTCAAGTATTCAAAACCCAGGACTCATTTTCTCAAAGATATCATAGCAAAGTAGGAAGATTCTAAACATATAATGAAAAAAAACAAGCTTTATCTATTGCAATAGAACTACATGTTTGCATACTGCCACCTAGCTGTGATGCTTAAATCTTTGTTTGCGGTCTGTAAGTTCACCATCCTCTCTCAACACGTGTTCTATTACAGTTCCGGCCCAGTTAATTGTATTTCACTCATCAAAATATCACTGAGATAAGGGGGTCATATACACAGGTGAGCTATTACCATTGTCCAAACTTCTATTCTCTTACAAATTTGTTTAATCTCTTGTTGCAAGTTTTTTCTATTTTCTTTTACCAGACTGTTTTGCGGGGTGGTGAGCCATACACAAATGCCAAATGTCCTCTATACAGTAGTGTGTTCTGTTTGGTACATCATTTAACCTAAACATGAATGGTTAATATCATGGTGGAACAGGTCATGTGACATACGTTTATTTCAGGTTTGCAGGTTGATTCTTTTCAAGTTGTTTTTGGACAATTAACTAAGAATACTGTCCTCTGTTTTTCTATGAAAGTTGTATTTTTCTATATTTTCTTGGAAATAAGGCACTACCCATTTTTGGCAATTGAGACAGGAAATGCATGATATTAGTAGAGGTAGATTTATTTATCCCTAGTTTTAATGTTTACTTTTAGTCTCCTTTGTTTTGGACAAGATGGCTGTGAATTATAATACTCAAGATCAATTTGGCAGAGGACCCCTACGCAAACAACGTTTCATAGTTGTCGAAAACAAGCTTGTATACAAATACCTATTTTTATTTGATCATTAGATTAAGCATTATCTATTCAAATACATTAAATCATTTGACCGATTCTTAGGAGAACTAGGATTCCAAGACTGGGCCATGTGATATGATAGGCTGTATTGTGGTCAAATAAAACTGGACTGAACTGTCAAATGTTTTTAAATAGCTATACTCTGGGCTGTTAGTGACAGCTCAATGCATTCGCTAGTTGCAGTATTCAGGACTCACCTTAGATAATGTGCTGTCCCATAATTCAAAATAAACAGTTTTGTAATTGCATTGCATCTGATCTTTTTTTCACTAATTGGTCTTTTAATCCAATCAGATCATCTATTTTGCCAATAATTGGGCAAAATATCAGAATTTGTCTGCCTGTGTAAACGCAGCCTTGCTCAGTGAATAAAACTGCCGGAGTACCAGTGAGCTAGCATGTCTGGAAGGGTAGCAGCAACATCGGTCTTGTGTGCTGTCAAGGGTCCTGGCCCTCAGACACCACGATCGTACCAAATTACTTCTCTAAAGCAGGGCTCGCCAACCCTGTTTCTGTAAAGTTTTCTTTCCAATCCTAATCTAGCGCACCCGAGTCTAATAAGAAGCTGGTTGATAAGATTAATCAGATTAGTTCAGGGATTCTCGAAAGTCGGGACAATCCTTGTCTGGCAGGGAAACTTTATTTAATAGTAAAAAAAAAAAAAAAAAAAACTTTGTTTCATTATTTGTGATAAAAAAAAAAAAATTTAAGTGAATTTATAAGGGAAAATATTAGTTTTTGTAAATAAATATATATTTTCAATATTATTCATTTCCCTGTCGGGCCCTGTGCCAGGAAATGCCATTGTCCAAAGGATCAACATGTCTAACTCCCCCAAAAGGTGTTAAATTGGCAAAAATGTATATTAACTACAAAGGGATCTCATATAGTTTCTTGCAATAACCCTCTTTGACTTTAAGGAATATTTCTCTCAAAACTGTGACTCCTAAAAAAAAAAAGTGTCTGGAGTTTTGGTCAACTCCGTCAGATTTGAGTAAAATCCCAAATGAATCAGAAATTAGCTGGGTCAGCTATACCTGAGAACCCATTCTTCATCTCCTGATTACAGGTATTGCAACAAGACAAGAAGGTAACCCATACAAATAAATGGAAGTATGGAGGTAGTTTTGTGCCAACAAAAATAAGGGGTTAACAAAAACAAACAAAAAAAAGATCCCGAGCTTTTTTATGTCGGCTAGAAATAGGACAGACACTTCAAAACCTTATGATTTGTTTTGACTGTCTTTTTTGCCAATTTTGAATGTGTTATTCAATGCATTTCTCTGGGCTATAGTAGTAAAGGCCAAATTCAATATTTTATCAAAAAAAATTTAGGATCCATGGTATGACCATCTTAAAACAATTCCATATGTTAGATTAGAGGTTAAAGCCTCAAATGATAAGATAAGCCAACTTTCAAAACGAGTCCTTTTCGGGTAACCACAGCAGTCAACTAGCTAGCTAGGCAGCTGTTTAGCTTTGTAGTACATTCACTAATTTGTTTGTAAACAATTAACAAGCTAGTTAGCTACCACGTCATGTCAACCTGTCAGAGTAGCTAGCAAGCAACAAGATATGCCAAAAAAGTCTAAAAACCACTTGAGGGCAAATATCAGATTTGACCGTTCAGACAAGTCGCATGGCCAGGAATCAGATATGTATGACTTCAAACCACCTACGAAGGTAGCTTGAAATATCCGATTCCATGTGGCTTTTGGCTGTTCAGACTGCAGGAAAAACAGAATCAAATCTGATATGCAATGTTTTTTTGAGTCACTTCAAACTGCCAATGTAAACAAGGCTTTAGAATATGAGTTATGGTTCAAATATGTTAATTTTAAAATTAGGTTTTAGAGTCATAAAGCAACTTAGGAAAAACTAAATTGCTACTGTGTATACCACTTGAATAAAGTAGAAAAATATACAATTTGTCAACTTGTATTGAACTTTTCTTTTTAGAAGCAAAAATGTATTTTGAGTAGCTGTTGTCAACTCCGTCACTGATGGCTTAAGATAGATTTGTCAATATTCTGAACAAATATTTTAATCACTGTTCTGCAACATAGGCTTAAACTATTGAAATATGTGCTGTGCTAGACCTAAGGGATAACGTTTGCTTTATAAATATTGTTTTAGGTTCTGAATCTAGATAGGTAAAATATCTTGAAATAAAAATTGAGGCTAAAACAAGCAAAACGATCTGCCAATGTAGATAATTGGTCCTCTGTAGCTCAGCTGGTAGAGCACGGCGCTTGAAACGCCAAGGTAGTGGGTTCGATCCCCGGGACCACCCATACACACAAAAAATGTATGCACGCATGACTGTAAGTCGCTTTGGATAAAAGCGTCTGCTAAATGGCATATTATTATATTATATTTATAATTTAGCTTGGTAAAATAAAACACACATTTTAAGTGAATTTATCACTCAAAATGTTAAAAATTGTTTCGATTTCACTTTTTGCAGTGTGATACTTCGGTTTATAAAAATATACACTGAGTGTACAACATTGAGAACACCTACTCTTTCCATGACAGACTGACCAGGTGAAAGCTATGATCCCTTATTGATGTCACTTGTTAAATCCACTTCAAATCATTGGAGATGAAGGGGAGGAGACCGGTTAAATAAGGATTTCTAAGCCTCGAGAATTGAGACATGGATTGTGTGTTTCATTCAGAGGGTGAATGGGCAGGACAAAATATTTTAATGACTTTGAACGGGGTATGGTAGTAGGTGCCAGGCGCACCAGTTTGTCAAGAACTGCAACGCTCCTGGGTTTTTCCACACGCAACAGTTTCCCATGTGTATCAAGAATGGCCCACCACCCAAAGGACATCCAGCCAACTTGACAACTGTGGGAAGCATTGGAGTCAACATGGGCCAGCATCCCTGTGGAATGCTTCCACCTTATAGAGTCCATGCCCCGACGAATTGAGGCTGTTCCGAGGGAAAAAGAGTGGAACGCAACTCAATATTAGGGAGGTATTCTTAATGTTTTGTACACTGTGTATACTACAAATGTTAACGTTAAGAAAAATATTTGTTCAAAAAAAAGTTGGAGATGTACGGTTGGAATGAAAACCTACAGGAGGTTAGCTCTTCAGGAACAGGGTTGAGAGCCCTGCTCTAAAGGCACAGTTCAAACGAAAAACTGTTATGACTTCTGGGAAACATAACTTTTTTTATTAATTAAACATGAAAATAAATGTATTAACATAAACATTCCGTTAACACTGTGGAACAGAGGCGGTGTACGAAATTGAACCCTATTTCCTACATAGTGCACCACTTTTTACCAGGGGCACCCTATATCAGTGGTTCCCAACCAGGGGTACTAGGACCCCAGGGGGTACTTGGCCTATCCACAGGGGGTACTTGGCCTATCCACAGGGGGTACTTGAGAAGACTCATGCACATGAGGGGGTACTTCAGGGTTACTCCGGGCAGAGTAAAATTCAGTTGGTGGTACAGTAACCGAAAAAGGATGGGAACCACTGCCCTACATAGTGCACGAATTAAGGAATAGGGTGCCATTTCAGACAGCCACTGACTAGCAAACTTCAAAACATGCAAACTTCAACAGAACAGTGGAACAAATGTTATACATGAAATAGGGTGACATATGGTGATTGCGGGTAGTTAGAGGGGCCTACCTCCGTCCCCAGTGCTCGGTTACATGCTGGGAGGAATAAAGTGCCCTGGGTGTGTGGGTGCAGTGACATAGTTGACTGGGTGATTAGAGGAGGGGCAGTAGGATGCGTGCACACGTGGTTGGGCAGGGCCTGAGTTCCAGGGCGTGAGATAGTGGTAGGTGGCAGAGAGCATCGGAACATAAGGCTCGTAGGTGTGGAGGGGGGGTTGGCTGCACTGGTCCTGAACCAAGGGGTAGAACACTGTGCCTGGGGCTCCTGCTGAGGGAGGGTCCATGGCCAGGGAGGTGCCTGGTAGGAAGGAAAAGGTGACGGGTGAGGACCAAGGTAAGATTAAGAAAAGAAAAAAAAAAGTATGTCACGTTTAATACTTGAGGTCTTAAGATTGTGACAAACACTTATGACACTGAAGTCACAGATCTTGTTCAATGCAAATGTGCCATTTCATAATGAGGAGGTCTGAGGCAGAGGGGTGGCGCTGACCATTGGCAGAAACATCTCCCTGGCCATCAGGCCCTGCTCTCCCAGTCTCTGGGTAGGACTGGGGGACTGTGTGATCAGAGGGAGGGGTGGCTCCGGAGTAGGACTGGAACTGTTGCTCGGTACTGGGCTGCTGATACGCCTGCTGCATCTGCACCATGGAATGCCAATAGCTCTGCTGGTACCACTGTTTCATCACGGATAGAAATAAAAGGTAGATTGTTTTCCTTCAAAAGACATGTCTAGTGTCTCATGCCAAGTAAATGTTCACCCATACATACTATAAAATCACTTACTTGGACTCCTAAATTAAAGTAATATTGGAGGACCTTGCCATCTATAGAAAGATAAATACATTTATTTACCGTCACGTCTTCAAAATTCAACTATTAGAAGTTTACAAATTGAACACACACACACACGCCATGGGGAAGCGTGTCTGACCTCGTGGAAGGTCGTTGCCGTTGTGGTCATAGGAGTAAGGTGGAGGGGGTGTGGTGCTGACCGCTTCCCCCATCTCATTCACAAACCAGGGAGAGGAAGGAGGAACCTGAATGGATGAAACTACAAACGAGAGAAAATAGGCATCAGTTAGGCATCAGGGCCCAATAACTCCTTCGGTCTGACCATCACCCTTATAAAGAGTGGCTACCTTGTCTGCCCATTGCATGTGGGGGAATGGGAGCCCCCTGAGGATAGTTTAAGGGTGGAGCCACTGGTGCTGGAGGGGTCTGAGAGCTGCTAGAGGATGAGGAGTTGGAGGTGAAGATAGCTGCTGGGGCTGTGGTTAAAGCCTGTGAGGAGGGGATGACTGCTGACTTCACCACCACCTGAGGAAACAAAACATTACATTAAAACGCAACCATCCGACTACAAACCATACAAGTTAACTTTTATCCAAAAGAAGAAGACAAACAATTCTACAGTTTTGAGTATGACCTAAACAAAACCTGATTCCCCCCCCCAAACAAAATGTGTGACAATTAAGGAGTTGTGTAGAGCTAATTGTGAAGCATCCAGTACCTGCTGTGACTGAGAGTAGCTATAGCTAGCTACGCCCTCTTGTGGTGAGCCGGCCCGAGATCCTCCCTCCTCAATGGTCTGGAAAGGCAGGCAAAAAAAAATGGAGAGAGGAATGCAATCAAACCAATCAGCCCCAATAATCAAGTAAATTCACATTAATTGGAAATTATACTGTAAATCTAAATCATCCCACATGTTAAAGTAACTTTTATTAACCTTCATTTCAACAACAAAAAGCAAGTGAAGGGCAATTATATTTGAGAGCATATTGAGAACAGGTGTACCAGGTTGGCAGTGGACTCTGCCGCAGCATACACAGATGGGCTCTGGAACCCTGGGTCTGCAAGATGAAGAGTTTTTAAAATATAATTGTCCACTTTTATCCATATTGTACAAAGGGTCTCCAAATTGTGAGCCTTTACTGCTGCCAAATGACAGAATCAGTTGGGAAATGGAATAGCCCAATTTGTCTTTACCTAACGTAAAATCAGTTGAAAATGCATCTACAGAACAGCATTTAAATGAAATGGTGGACATAGACTGTCCTACCAGCTTTTCCTAAGGGCTCTCCATGGACTTCATAGAAATCTCCACAGCAGGTGATGTCAACACACTCACCTTCACCAGTATAGATGTACTCCTCTGAATATTCACCTGAGACATATACAGCATGGATTTACCATTTACATTCTGACTCAAATAAAACAAAATAAGACAGCGTCACTGGACAGGCTGGCCTACCCTGGTCGTCACCATTGCTCCTCTCGTCAGCGTCCTCCTCTGATGAGGTCATGGCCTGTTTGCCAGATGTGGGGATGGGGCTCGGCCCCTGCTGCACCCAGTAGGTTGGGAGTGCTGGAACCATGGGGTTTGCTACAGCCTGTCCCTAAAGAGAAGGTTAGAAAAGCAGACAGCAGGTTGACTTGAATACTCCAGTTGAATACTCATGCCCCCAACTATCAAAGTCTGTAACCTGAGGGCTTCTGGACTACTTAGTTACCGACAAGGGAGGGAAGGCAGTTTCATCTCCCCCCTCAATCTCGTAGAACGTGATTGTTCCTTCCATGTCCTGTGCCTCCTGTCCAGCCTCGGCGACATAGCTGAACTGGCAGTCCTTGTTGATAGCATGCATCTGGCGCCTGCTCCGGCTGCAAGAGCTCAAATGAATACACATACTTTTTATAACCACAATACTCATTCACTGCAAATCATGACTACATTCGCTATGGGCAAGGCCACTGGTAATATCCAAAGTTACCGTAGCTCAAAACAGTCACTCTGCTGAACGTTGCTAAGGAGCTAATAAAAAGGAGTATTACCGTGACCTGAATGAGTAGTTGTCGAAGCTGTGGTAGCAGCGTTTTCCTGGGTGAGGATAGTATGTCATCTCCGGCCCAATGAGGTGATGCCTGTTCAGGAAACGGGCTGAACTTCTGAACAGAACCCAGATTGGCAACAGCATAGATACCAACAGAATATAATAAACGGTAAGGAACATGGCCTTCAGTAATGGTGCAGTACAGCAGCGGTGTGAATGGCGTTTTAGAGTGACATTTCTCAAACCTGCCATTTGACAATTTAAGTAGCAAGCGCACCGACCTGGGTGGGCCATATCCTCGCGGGAGCCTGGGTGGAAGATGCGGGCGGTAGTGTTCGTAGGGCAGTGTCCCTGGAGGTGGTGGGGGGGCGTGCATGCCAGGGGCGCGCCCAGGGGGTATGCCCCCAGGGCCTGACTGGAAGCGGGGAGGCAGGCCAGGCTGGGGTCGACTGTAAGACATCATCAGCATCTCCTTCCCTCTGGGCTTCTTAAAGAAACGCCGCCGGCCCCGCAACTCTGAATCTGTAACAGACAAAGAAGGGGTAACAGAAAGTTGTACAAGACATCTTTAATGGTCCGAGGCCAATACGATTTTCACTGCTATTAAACTTACTAAGACTAATCTAAATAGTTAAAGGGCACACAGACCCATTTCTCCAGGATACTGCTCAGGCCTGCTGTATGATGGTCCCTTGCGGCTCGGGGTGATGTTCCAGGCAGGGACAGGGTTCACAGGCTTGAAGTTAGTCAGAGACACAAGATGTCTGAAAGTGGTGGGGTATAGTGAGGAGGTCTCATAAACCTAATATTGAAAAGAGCACTGCGTCGATGGTAATTCACCATACTGTATGACTGACAACCACTTGGATGGTACATTTACATTTTAGTCATCTAGCAGACGCGCTTATCCAAAGCGATTTCCAGTTAGTGCATTCATCTTAAGATAGCTAGGTGGGACAACCACATCACAGTCATAGTAAGTACATTTTTCCTCAATAAAGTAGTTATCAGCAAAGTCAGAGCTAGTAAGGGGGAAAAGGGTCAAGTGTGAGTGTTTGTTCACAAAAGTATTTTTTTGGTGGGGGGGGGGGGGGGGGATAATTTAAGATACTCTTTGAAGAGGTAGGGTTTCAGATGTTTTCAAAAGATGGGTAGGGACTCCGCTGTCCTAACGTTAGAGGGAAGCTGGTTCCACCAGGACAGAGGAGAGCTTGGACTGGGATGCGTGGGAGCTGCCCTCCCATAGGGGTGGGAGGGCCAAGAGGCCTGAGATGGCAGAACGAAGTACTCGGGTTGGGGTGTAGAGTTTGAGCAAAGCCTGTAGGTAGGGAAGGGCAGTTCCTCTTGCTGCTCTGATACAAGAACATGCATGCGCCAGAACACTAAAATAAGCACACATTGATGGGTGCTGTGTTAAAGTGCCTGTGTGTAAGTCAGTTCAATTGGGGTGTTTTTAAAAAAGGGACAGGTATCTCACTTTTCTCCAAGCTCTTCGATGAACACTGTCACAGCGCTGGGGTGAGTGCCCACTTCCTGAATGAAGGCATTGTAATACTTCCCTTTGGGGTCGAGACGAACCTGCATAGAAGACATGGGCTAGCCTTAGTCATTTGGAGTATGTTTTGCACACCAAAAAAAAAAACGAACCATCTTAAATTAGTGGATAAACTGGATTACTGTACCTGACACTTGTCTCCCAAGAAGTACTGTCTTCCAGCAAACACCACGTAATCAGTCTTCTGCATCTCTGTTTCAGAGACACGATATTATATGCCATTCCAGAATGGCCAATTATACAACTGCTCTACGTGAAGAAATTAGTGTGTGGAATAAGCATATCAACCCCATGTGAATATTCAGCACGGATAACAGGTCTGCTCTGTGTGAATCTTGTTCTTTAGAACTAATGTCTTATGATTAATTTAGCAGTTCCACTTCACCACAAGAATCCCAACCCAAGTTTCCCCCCAACAGAAGTGGGCAACATGGTATACCTCTGCGACTGTCATGCCATACATCAAACTCGACATTTCTGTACATCTCAGAATCCAGTGCTTTGAGCACCTTGTACGGGAGAGAGAGTTTTGCTGGTCCATCTGGAGTCTTAGGAAGAGAAAGAGAGATAAGAAATTGGATTTGTGTTCCTTGAATCTAGTCTACCCAAATAATGTTATAAACTACAATTCAGAGCTGGTAACAATAGACGTTATAGAAAACGTTGTCACATTGGCTTCCTCTGCTCCAGGTCTGGCTTTGTCCTCTGTGCGATTGTGCCCATTGAACTCCCAATCGTCCCTACAAGAAAGTAAACAGTGTAGAAAAATACTTAACAAAAACCTGATAAAAGAAATTTTAAAAAATCATACAATGACTACACTACACTGAGTAACATTAAGAACTATTTCCATTACAGACTGACCAGGTGAAAACTATCATCCTTCATGTCACTTGTTAAATCCACTTCAAAAATCAGTGGCTTCGGAAAGAATTCAGACCCCTTTACTTTTTCCACATTTAGTTACGTTACAGCCTTATTCTAAAATGTATTAAATGAATGTTTTTCCTCAATCTACACACGATACCCCGTAATGACAAAGCGAAAACAGGTTTATACATTTTTGCACATTTATTAAAAATAAAAAACCTTATTTACATAAGTATTCAGACCCTTTGCTATGAGACTCGAAATTGAGCTCAAGTGGATCCTGTTTCCATTGATCATCCTTGAGATGGACTCCAATCAAGTTGTAGAAACACCTGTGGTAAACACAATTGATTGGACATGATTTGGAAAGGCACACCAAATCAAATAAGGTCCTACAGTTGACAGTGCATGTCAGAGCAAAAACCAAGCCATGAGGTCGAAGGAATTGTCCGTTGAGCGCCGAGACAGGATTGTGACGAGGCACAGATCTGGGGAAGGGTACCAAAAATGTTCTGCAGCATTGAACGTCCCCAAGAACACAGTGGCCTCCATCATTCTTAAATGGAATACGTTTTTAACCACCAAGACTCTTCCTAGAGCTGGCCGCCCGGCCAAACTGAGCAATCGGGGGAGAAAGGCCTTGGTCAGGGAGGTGACCAAGAACCCAATGGTCACTCCGACAGAGCTCCAGAGTTCTCTGTGGAGATGAGAACCTTCCAGAAGGACAACCATCTGTGCAGCACTTCACCAATCTGGCCTTTATGTTAGAGTGGCCAGACGGAAGCCACTTCTCAGCAAAAGGCACATGACAGCCCGCTTGGAGTTTGCCAAAAAGGCACCTAAAGACTCTCTGGTCTGATGAAACCAAGATTGAACTCTTTGGCCTGAATGCCAAGTTTCACATCTGGAGGAAACCTGGCACCATCCCTACGGTGAAGCATGTTGGTGGCAGCATCATACTGTGGGGATGTTTTTCAGTGGCAGGGACTGGGAGACTAGTGAGGATCGAGGGAAAGATGAACGGAGCAAAGTACAGAGAGCTCCTTGATGAAAACCTGCTCCAGAGCGCTCAAGACCTCAGACTGGGGCGAAGGTTCACCTTCCAACAGGACAACGACTCTAAGCACACAGCCAAGACAACGCAGGAGTGGCTTCGGGACAAGTCTCTGAATGTCCTTGAGGGGCCCAGCCAGAGCCCGGACTTGAACCCGATCTAACATCTCTGGAGAGACCTGAAAATAGCTGTCCATCCAACCTGACAGAGCTTGAGAGGATCTGCAGAGAAGAATGGGAGAAACTTCCCAAATACAGGTGTGCCAAGCTTGCAGCGTCATACCCAAGGAGACTCGATGCTGTAATCGCTGCCAAAAGTGCTTCAACAAAGTACTGAGTAAAGTCTGAATACTTATGTAAATGTGGTTGTTTTATATTTTAATAAATAAGCAAACATTTCAAAAATACTGTTCTTGCTTTGTCATTATGGGGTATTGTGTGTAGATTTGAGTAAAAAATAAACAATTGAATCAATTTTAGAATAAGGCTGTAACGTAACAAAATGTGGAAAAAGTCAAGGGGTCTGAATAAATTCCAAAGGCAGTGTAGATGAAGGGGTTAAAGAAGGATTTTAAGACATGGATTGTGTGCGCCATTGAGGGTGAATGAGCAAGACAAAAGATTTAAGTGCCATTGAACAGGGTATGGTAGTACTGTAGGTGCCAGGCGCACCACATTGTGTGAAGAAATAAAACGCTGCTGGGTTGTTCCCGCTCAACAGTTTCCAATGTGTATCAAGAATGGTCTACCACCCAAAGGACAACCAGTCAACTTGACACAACTGTGGGACGCATTGGAGTCAACATAAGCCAGCATCCCTGTGGGACGCTTTCGACACCTTGTCCATGCCCCAACGAATTGAGGCTGTTCTGAGGGCAAAAGGGTGCAACTCAAAATTAGGAAGGTGTTCCTAATGTTTGGTATACTCAGTGTATATATGCTTTGGTGAATTTATGCATATTGTAGGTGGGTCGTTCCCTTTTGGGTAGTGTAACGTCGAGGAATTTTTTTTTTATTTCACCTAATTTTAACATTGGCATGAAGAGCACATGTCCAACTTAATTAAAAAAACATGTTGTTTTCTCCATCAAGAGGTTAAATAAGCCTATAGTTAAGTGCCTAATAAAGTAACAGGGTTGATGTGTGCATCTTACATTGGCCATAAATCCCCTTGTGACAGGGGGAATGGAAGCTTGTTGTGCGCAACATGGATGGGCATTTGAATGCAAGCTCCACAACAACAAATGACATGTTACGCTCAGCCCACTCAGTTTTCCACCACAAAACACCAGAAAGAGTAGAACCAGCTCACCTACTTGTACACAAAGATTTGACTATTAGATGTTCAATGTTTCATTTGGGAAAAAATATTTTACAAGGAATAGTTACCATATTAAAACAGGGTTGACCTCAAAATGAGGGACATGTTCTTTTTATTAAAATGAATCACTAGTCACATAATACACTGAACAAAAATATAAACCTCAACATGTAAAAAGTGTTGGTCCCATGTTTCATGAGCTGAAATAAAATATCGCAGAAATTTACCATACGCACAAAAAGCTTATTTCTTATCGCACAAATGTGTTTACATCCCTGTTAGTGAGCATTTCTCCTTTGCCAAGAAATGTTCTCCACCTGACAGGTGTGGCATATCAAGAAGCTGATTAAAAAGCATGCTCATTACACAGGTGCACCTTGTGCTGGGGAGAATAGACCCTTTTCACAGAATATCATTAGGCCTACAGTATAGACCCCTTTTCCAATACACTACACACTGACGTCACGCACAGATGCGCGCGACTCTTGGCGGCAGTAAAAAAGCCATCGCCATCTGCGCCCATTCAACGTAGCCTAGATTTATGTTTTTATTACAAAATAACTTTTTGGGGTTCTCATACACTTACAATTATGTTCCGATTCTTGCTTGAAAAGCCGCTAAGACTATATTTGTTTGGGATCTTTGCGAAATAACTATTTTGGATGCAGCAGTTAGCTAGAATGCTTATGCTCATTGACATAGGCTGTAGGAAAAGCTAGCCAAAGAGCCATTTTACTGGTTGAAATTTAAGTGTTTTTTAAGTATAATGCAGTTGATTTGCGATGACAAACATATGAAGCAGGACATTCATATGAACCTTAAAATCCAAAAGTAGTGTGAAATGCACTAATAAGCTATATGTAAATTAGAGGCTTTTTTGCTGGTGTTCTACAAAGAACTCCCGTGTTCTGCCACCAACTTGCGCACATCGCCCTCATGCGGCAATGTTTGCAAACACAGAAAGGGGTCTATAAAAGGCCATTAAAATCTGCCGTTTTGTCACACAACACATTGCCACAAATGTCTCAAGTTGAGGGAGTGTGCAATTGGCATGCTGACTGCAGGTATGTCCACCAGAGCTGTTGCCAGAGAATTGAATGTTCATTTCTCTACCATAAGCTGCCTCCAATGTCATTTTAGAGAATTTAGCAGTAAAACAGGCTTTTAAAACTAAATATTGGTGCACAAGTTCGACTTAAAATATCATTTCATGGAATGACCTAAGTAACTAGCAACTGTAAGACTTAAGTTTAGTGTGGAGGACTCAAAAGTGGTGTGCAGAGCAAGACTTCACCTCCGAGTCTGACCCCTGTCCTCAGGGGTGTCATAGCCTGCGTCCTCACTGCACACCGACAGGCTGTTCCTATAGCGACGACCTCCGCCACGGAACCCTTCCAAGGCTCCTTGCACCTCCGCCTCCTCGACACCAAGGACTTGTGTGTACAGCAGCTCATACAACAGAGCTGGATTCAGTTGAAGAAAGAAGTTATACATTTCCTATTCACTACACATGAAACAACTGATTATTTAAAATATTGAGTAAATAAAATCAATGAGTAGCCAATTATAGGACTTAAAGAGTGAAGATGTATCCACTGCAGTGGAGGCTGGTGAGAGGAGCTATAGGAGGATGGGCTCATTGTAATGGCTGGAATGGAATTAATGTAACGGAGTTAAACATGGGGTTTCCTTATATTTTGACGTGTATGACTGTTCCATCTATACCATTCCAGCCATTACAATGACCCCATCCTCCTATAGCTCCTCCCACCAGCCTCTGATGAGTGAGAGAGTACTGACCCTGGCACAGAGCTGCGTCGATGGGGTAGTTCCTGGGGTACACGATGTCATAGTGGCCATTGTTGGAGCAACACAGTAAAATCTGCAATACAGTCAGAGAGCAGAATCCAGAACAGTGTGAAGTGTAATGCATTTTCACTCTTAACCATTCATTAAAAATTGTAAAAATTACACACAAATCGAATTGTCTACAGAGTAAGTAAAGATCGAACTAAGAAAAGAGGAGCTGGAAAACTGAAAATTTTGAAAATGTTTGATTTTGAAATAGTGGTAACTGAGACTGAAGAAGCATGAGACGTTTTTTTCTGGTTCAATGAATGAAGTAGACCAGACCCAGCTGCTATTGCATTGGTGTCTATGGGAGACAAAGTTACGTAGACTAACATACTTTTCTTTTTGCGTCCAATGGTAAGCAGCCTGAATGAACCCCATCTTTCATTTATACACCATCTTTGGCTGTAGTCTACTCAAATTACAAAATGAGAGCAGTACCCTCTAGTGGACAAACCAAAGCACACAAAAGTATGGGGACACCTGCTCGTCGAACATCTCATTCCAAAATCATGGGCATTAATATGGAGTCAGTCCCCCCTTTTGCTGCTATAACAGCCTCCACTCTTCTGGGAAGGCTTTCCACTAGATGTTGGAACATTGTTGCGGGGACTTGCTTCCATTCAGCCACAAGAGCATTAGTGAGGTCGGGCACTGATGTTGGGCGATTAGGCCTGGCTCGCAGTCGGCGTTCCAATTCATCCCAAAGGTGTTTGATGGGGTTGAGGTCAGGGCTCTGTGCAGGCCAGTCACGTTCTTCCACACCAAACTCGACAAACCATTTTTGCATGGGGGCATTGTCATGGGACTACGGGTGCAAATTAGCTTATGGCTAACCCCGGCACATTTACATGGGTGTTGCATTATTGTAATATTGATTAATGTGCATTGTCCCCCATAAATAAAACATAAAAAAATGCTGAAACAGGAAAAGGGCCTTCCCCAACCTGTTGCCACAAAGGTGGAAGCACAGAATCATCTAGAATGTCATTGTATGCTGTAGCGTTAAGATTTCCCTTCACTGGAACTAAGGGGCCTAGCCCGAACCATGAAAAACAGCCCTAGACCATTATTCCTCCTCCAAACTTTAGTTGGCACTATGCATTGGGACAGGTAGTGTTATCCTGGCATCCGCCAAACCCAGATTTGTCAGTTAGACTGCCAGATGGTGAAGCATGATTCATCACTCCAAAGAACGCCTTTCCACTGCTCCAGAGTCCAATAGCGGTGAGCTTTACACTCCAGCTGAAGCTTGGCATTGCGCATGGTGATCTTAGGCTTGTGTGTGGCTGCTCGGCCAGTTATTGTGCTGATGTTGCTTCCAGAGGCAGTTTGGAACTCGGTAGTGAGTGTTGCAACCGAGGACAGTCGATTTTTACGCACTTCAGCACTCACCGGTCTCGTTCTGTGAGCTTGTGAGGCCTACCACTTCGCGGCTGAGCCGTTGTTGCTCCTAGACGTTTCCACTTCACAATAACAGCACTTACAGTTGACCGGGGCAGCTCTAGCAGGGTAGAAATGTGTCAAACTAACTTGTTGGCAAGGTGGCATCCTATGATGGTGCCACGTTGAAAGTCACCGAGCTCTTCAGTAAGACCATTCTACTGCCAATGGACATTGTATGGCTGTGTGCTCGATTTATACACCTGTCAGCAACGGGTGTGGCTGAAATAGCCAAATCCACTAATTTGAAGGGGTGTCCACATACTTTTGTATATATAGTGTATCACGTCAATGCCCCTATCCACACACCTGGTTCAATTAGCAACCTGGTTCAGTTTAGCCTGTTTTGCCAGGTAATTACTTCACTAGTCAGGCATTTGAGATGCTTCAGGGCTCAGTGGGCTGCGATGAACCACACACTCTTACCTTCTCCATGTAGTCTACTTCAGTTATCTCTGTTGGTGGCTTCCCAGGATACCTGTATACAAGGAAGCACCGCCTGCCACACAGCCAACATGTGACAACACCAACTTATTTCATGTTACAATCATTGTTAAAAATACAATGCAATTCACATCACAATCTCCATATCATTTTTGACAATGTCCTGTCGGCCAACACAAAGGTTGTACAATGTGGCAGGTGGTGTCTAACTGATACCACATTGTGCAGCACTTACCTGTACAATGATGACAATGCCTTTATCTCAACTTGTCCAGTGGTTTCCTGAAGAAAAACATATTTAACGGTATGTACATGACCTTTTTTCATATTGTCGAAGGTCCGAATCCGGATTGTGCAATGTGCTTTCATAACATGTAGTTCTATAAAACATACCTTGGGGTCCTCCAGACGTTCCAGATACTTCTCAAACGACCCTTCAACAAACTAGGAGATAGAGCATGTCATTACGTAGATTATAAACGGTCAATGCTATCAGGGATCCTTGGGACGTCCCTACCCATTTTAAATGTCAACTTCAAATGGGGGGGGAAGGGAAGGATTCGGATAGCACCGGACAATTTTAAACTAGACTTGCTCTGTGCTGTGAAGCTATTGTATTTGCGAATATTTTTTGTTGTTGTCAACTTACAGGTTCAAAGTTGCATCGGTTTGCTCTCATGAAGGTGACACAGTCTTTCCTTATCTTTTGATGGTAATTCTGTGAGTAATACATCTTGGAGGAATGAAATACATAATTACATAATGCATTTTTTTTTTTTTTGTATTCAACAGCCTCCGCTTTGCTCCCTGGAACATAATGTTGTGCATTTCATGTTTTAACTCTGGCCACTTCATTGAGTAATAAATTCAGTCAACCAAATTAACCCTAGAGGAAGATGAATAGGCTAAATGAACCCATGAGTTCCCAAGCGACATACATTTCTTTTGAAAAATGACAACTTCCTATTCTCACACCATGAAGTCAGTCAGTTAGAGAAATGTAATATCTTATATATATATTTATTTATTTTCTAAACGTTGAACGTCAAATGGAATCTATTAAAAGATTTCGCTAAATTGCTTTAGGCTACTGTACCTGCTCAGAGACAGCTCGAAATAGACAGGACGCGTCTCGTGCCATCATTTTTCGGTAGAGACCGATGCTGGCTAGATACTCGTCCATGTTTACAAAATACTTCTTCAAGGCTTTCTGCATTTTAAGGAAATTGTAAATAAAAAACTATAAATATGCAAAGCTTCATAACTTTCCGCGTAGAAGATAAAGAACATGAAGGTCGAAAGTTTCCTTTCGAATTGGAATAAGGAAACAGGTGCTAAAAATGAGCACTGATTACGGAGTCAACATCTCCGTCATTCGTTCCAACCGTTGAAAACTTTATTGAAAATTCTTGTCTTTGATTGGTTACACTAAATTCTTTATTTTTATTTTTATACTGCACCCATCTATTGTGTTTATAGCCTCCAATGCCTTATCCAGTGAAAAGGCTACTCCACAGTCAGAAACGAATGATAAACCTGACTCAGAAAAAAAATATTTGTAAAGGATTTGGCCTAAATCAAACCGAATATACACTATATATACAAAAGTATGTGGACACCCCTTCAAATTAGTGCATTCGGCTATTTCAGCCACACCCGTTGCTGACAGGTATATCAAATCGAGCACTCAGCCATGCAATCTCCATTGACAAACATTGGCAGTAGAATGGCCTTATTGAAGAGCTCAGTGACTTTCAACGTGACACTGTCATAGGATGCCACCTTTCCAACAAGTCAGTTAGTCAAATTTCTGCCCTGCTAGAGCTGCCCCGGTCAACTGTATCTGCTGTTATTGTGAAGTCGAAAAGTCTGGGAGCAACAATGACTCAGCCGCGAAGTGGTAGGCCACACAAGACCGCCTAGTGCTGATGCACGTAGCACGTAAAAATGATCTGTCCTCGGTTGCAACACTCACAACTGAGTTCCAAACTGCCTCTGGAAGCAATGTCAGCACAATAACTGTTCGTTGGGAGCTTCATGAAATGGGTTTCCATGACCGAGCAGCCACACACAAGCCTAAGATCACCATGCGCAAACGTCGGCTGGAGTGATGCAAAGCTCACCGCCATTGGACTCTGGAGTAGTGGAAACGCGGCCTCTGGCGTGATGAATCACGCTTCACCATCTGGCAGTCCGACGGACTAATCTGGGTTTGGAGGATGCCAGGAGAACGCTACCTGCCCCAATGCATAGTGCCAACTGTAAAGTTTGGTGGAGGAAGAATAATGGTCTGGGGCTGTTTTTCATGGTTCGGGATAGGCCCCTTAGTTCCATTGAAGGAAAATCTTAATGCTACAGCATACAATGACATTCTAGACTATTTTATGCTTCCAACTTTGTGGCAACAGTTTGGGGAAGGCCCTTTTCTGTTTCAGCATGACAATGCCTCTGTGCACAAAGCGAGGTCCATAGAGAAATGGTTTGTCTAGATCGGTGTGGAAGAACTTGACTGGCCTGCACAGAGCCCTGACCTCAACCCCATCGAACACCTTTGGGATTAATTGGAACGCCGACTGCAAACCAGGCCTAATCGCCCAACATCAGTGCCAAACCTCACTAATGTGCTTGTGGTTGAATGGAAGCTTTGTCCCTGCAGCAATGTTCCAACATTTAATGGAAAGCCTTCCCAGGAGAGTGGAGGCTGTTATAGCAGCAAAGGGGGGACCAACTCCATATTAATGGCCATGATTTTGGAATGAGATGTACAACGAGCAGGTGTCCACATACTTTTGGTCTTATAGTGTATCATCCTGAGGGATATACCGTTTTGTACATGTGGTCATGCCGGCAACATGTGGCTGCATCACAGAAGCATGACATAGTAAAGCTCAGCCTTCTCGATTTAATATAGTCAAGGTAAATGTGAAGAACCATCACAGTTTACAGTCTAAAAACAATATCACAATAAACAGTGTCTTGGCTTCAATGTTATTTCCTTCCTTTTTCCTTTCACTTGCTGAGTTCTTTCCTTCCTAGGATGAGGAACCTACAGCACCCATCTACCTGGAGTGGATACAGATTATAGGCTATGTCAAGATTGTGAGTTACAATGTTGTCGCCTGCACTTAATGTTGAAAATATTAGTTGATCATTGTAGCCTACCAGTGTGTAGGCCTAGACAGCATGTTTAACTCAGGGGTTAAAGACACAATCCTGAGTTTCAGCCCAATGGCAGCCCCGCCAATTCATTTGGTAGCCTAAAGCTAAGGGATGGTGCTGGGTAGCACTCAAATTCATGGACAAATCACTGGACAATTCAAATCACTCAAATTCATGGACAGTGCTCTGGGTGCAAGGATGGACAGTCCAGGTATTTTGAAGCTATACACATTGATTGTTTACAAAGACTGAAATGACAACAAAAACAACCGATTGAGTAATACAACCTTGTATTTTGGGTTATTATAAGGGTAAAACATGTGTACTAGGGTTACTAAACTTCGATTGTATGCCTTTACGTTTAGATGAATTACCCTCACCATAAGATGGGAGATCATTGAACACAAAGCAGTGTATCTAGAACACATTTACATTTTAGTCATTTAGCAGACGCTCTTATCCAGAGCGACTTACAGTTTGTGTATATATATTATTTTTTTATACTGGCCCCCCGTGGGAATCGAACCTACAACCCTGGCGTTGCAAACGCCATGCTCTATCAACTGAGCTACATCCCTGCCGGCCATTCCCTCCCCTACCCTGGACGACTTGTGCGCCGCCCATGAGTCTCCCGGTCGCGGCCGGCTGCGACAGAGCCTGGATTCTAGTGGCACAGTTAGCACAGTGCCTTAGACCACTGCGCCACTCAGTCTAGAGAAGATCTAGACCAGCATTCTACTGCTAGTAAGGCATAGTGCACTTTATTTAGCCAACAAACATTAACATGCATCTCAAAGGGACTTACTCAACGTTTTTGCAATTAGCTTATAACATTGGCTAATGTTTTTGTAAGGGACCTTGGGGGATGGAAGCTGCATTAGATAAGAGCAGGGAAGGAATACAGGCAAAGAGACTGAGAAAGATGATCTGCAGAATATTTAGGTTGGTGCATGTAGTTATAAGCAGAGCCATTAATTACATTTGTTTGTGTGCCATATATCAACTAATAATTTGTGTGTTTCATGATACTTAGCAATATTAAAACGGAGCTGAGAAGGCTCATTAAAGATACAAATATACATATTTTAAAAGTTGATACGGAATACAGTTTGTAATTGTTGTGTTTATTATGGGACCTACATTGCAGACCAATTTACTGTGATGCATGAATTTGTTTTACATAAATTAAAGGGCTCAAAGTATGGCTCTGCCTTATTAACTACTAGCTAATTAAAAGGCGACAAGCTGATCTGAGAATAAAAGGCAAAATATTGTGTTTTTTACAGCCCTTCGAACTAGAACTTCTGAATATGTCACACACTTTGTGCCCTTCCGAACACATACTTTCAGCCTAACAACATCTAGGCTTTAAATTCTTGTTTTGCTCAAGCGATTTTTTACAACATTACTCTCTTTTATCTCAACCGTAATACTATGGATATACATTTAGTACGAAAATTGCATGTTTGAACCTCCCTAAAATGAATAACTTTTTTAACAATTGTTTTAATGTTTGCCCTTGGCCACTCTTTTGAGAGTTTTGTTTTTGCTGGTTACTTGGGTCCATCCAAAGCATATTGGATTTCTGGTTTGAGACAGTAAATATAGTTAGATGTTAATTTGACTGAACTTTGTGATCATTGTCAATATTTTTTATTTTGAGTTGATATTCATCTTTTTGTACGTTTGTGTGAAATCATATTTTATTAGAATGAGTGTCAATGGGGGGAAAAAAGACCGCGTAGATTAGAAGAATCCAATGTGGTAGTTGCTTGAAATATCCAAACGGTGGCAGAAGAGCTCAAGACAAGCTCGAAGTTCGACTTGTGAGTGTTCAGCATCTTTTCCCGCGCTCGTCCGTTTTACAAAAGGAACACCAGAAGATAAGTAAAACATTAAGGTATAGCCTACATTTTACACTATATTAGTAGTACTATAATTTATATTCAAATGTAGCAATCATTAGTGTCCATTTCTATAAAAATAAGAATAAAGAGGACACTAATAACACAGACAATCTTGTAGCGTAGCCTACTGGTCAAAGGATTACGTGGTCCAATACATTTGCTTGATGGTACCCGTTTTTTTCCTTCTGTGCCCTGATAATGAACATCTGGCAACAAGGTGACCAAACTAAACGAGAAAAGAAATTGAGGAAGAAAAAACAACTCAATAAAACGCATGCCCCCTATTTTTTATGACTTCAATATTGAGCCGTTGAATTTGAATATATAGCCTATAGCGCTTCATAATCATTTAAAAAGAAACGTATCTTGCTCATAATAAATTGCAGTTAAACTGTGGTATAGACCGGTGCATTTACTTTTATCAAACAACTCATTTGCTTAATTAAAACTCATTCTTTGATGTCGAGGTAAAAGGTTTAATCAGTCTGCTTATTAGGTTAAATGGTTTGTTTGTGAATTCAATTGTAAGGCCTATCAAGATGGTTTGGAAAATCCCTTATGCAAGTAGTATCTGCATACTTGCAAAAAAATAAATAAAAAAGCAAAATAATTGTTAAAAAATCTTTTATCTTCTGAAAGAGGTTGATTAAAAAACATACACAGATTAAAGCATTTTCCAACCCTTTATCTGATACTGCAATGAGAGGTGCTTGCGGCTGTATTTATTAACCACTTAGTCGCAGACTATGTTAATGTGGCCGTCTGTTCTCAATTGAAGACGTTTCAATTCAAGGCTTTTCATAAATCAGATGCAACGTGTGTTTCTGATTTAGGCGGACAGCGCAGCCTATGTGGCCTTAGTTTCGGAAAAGTTGGGAGGGATCTGATCTGCTATTTGAAAAGTAGCCCACTTTGACAACAGAATAAAATCCAAATTGAGGTTGCAATGTTTCAAAAATGATATCTTACATTTTAGTCATTTAGCAGACGCTCTTATCCAGAGCGACTTACAGTTAGTGAATACATATTTTTTATACTGGCCCCCCGTGGGAATCGAACCCACAACCCTGGCGTTGCAAACGCCATGCTCTATCAACTGAGCTACCCTGGACGACGCTGGGCCAATTGTGCGCCGCCCATGAGTCTCCCG